GACACAGAGCAGAACACAGAAACTAACCCAGTTTGCAGAGATGGGGGTGGTAGGAGTCCTGGGGAGAAGACCACGTCTGAGTGGAGGCATAAGGGGTGAGCAAGAGTTGGGCAAAGGGGATGGGAGTGAGAGCATTCTGGGCAGAAGGAACAGTATTTGCAAAGCACAGACAGGAGCAACAGCAGGATATGGTGCACTCCAGGAACGACAAGCAGCTTGGTGGTGTAGAAATTTAAACGGGAGGGTAAGAAATGGGGCAAAATAGGCTAGAGCAATAGAATGGAAGCAGACAGCAAAGGGATTCCATAGAGAAGGCCTTGGACCTCACCCTTTGGGTGCTGGAGAACCCCAGCAGATGTCGATCATTGGAATGACTGTGAGGACAATGAGCTCGGCAGGAGCCTGGAGTCAAAGAGACCAGGAAGAACACCTCTGAGGCAGAAAGAAGATGCTGCTGCAAGGTCAGGGTTGACAAGGTCAGGAGCTGAGCAGACCTGGGGACTGCCTGGGTATGGGGGGGCAACAGGAGGAAGAGTTACGGATGGAGTGTGCATACATCCTTCTTGCGGGTGGAGAATCAGGTGGAAGTCTCTTCTTTGTTCTCCAGGAAAAGATGATGAATTTGATTTCTGACATGAGTTTGAGGTGTACATGGGATACGCGGGTTGAAATGTCAGTCTAAAAACTCATAGGAGCAGTAGTCGTAGTCTGGGTTAGCGATAATGACTTCATGGTCAACAGCCATAAAATGGTGCCAGGAGGAGAAGGCCCAGGATCTACTGTGATGGTGAGTAAGGCAGCGGGCAGAGGAAGGACCCCTGGAAAACACCAACATTTAATAGGAAGACAGAAGGATGAGGCTGTGAAAAAGAGCGAGGAAAAAGTCAAAGAGCTAGAGCGCCGGATGTCACAGAAACCAAGTGCACAAACTTTCAAGAAGCCGTGAATGAGTGACCACCACCATCAAATGCAGCAGAGAGAGGCCCACTAAGCTGAGGGATGAAAAGTGGACACATCATTTAACATTTCAGAGGTCATAAGTATGCATCCTGTTAGACTTCTTGGTTGCAGACAACTGAATCCACTCAAGTTATTTTAAACAGAAAGGTATTTATTAGAGGGTATCCATGTATACACACTCTCCGGGCGGCCACAGACACAGGTTTGGACGTCTTTCCACCAGGAACAGCAACAGCAGCTGGGACAAACACCCACCTGCATCACAGGACGGTAATGGGGGAAACCTACTCTGCCACCACTTCACTCTGCTCAGCCCCTGTGACCAGTGACTAGAACCTTCACTACAGATGCACCAGATGAAGAAAAGCTTCAGCCAGGGTGCCTACCAGAGCCACTCTTCCCCAGAGTAGCTTCATTCTAAGACGAACTTGCTCCACCTCACCTAACTGAACGCTCACCTTCAGACTTCCAAAAGCTCACTGTCCCCTTATCTACGTCATCCGCAAATGATACTTCTGCGCAACATAAAATGAAGATGGAGTCCAAAAAAGCAAGAATAATCTTTATTCCTTGGAAACACATTGGTAAAAATGTATCAGTAAGATTAAAAGTTTCGGAACACATTTATTTGTATGCAGCACAAACACTGAGGATCAAAACATCTGCTAAAACAGAATACACCTGTAAACAGATATCTTAGGAAAAGTTTATAGGTGACTGACTCTACTGTGCAGGGAGTGTAGCTGAGTCCCTCCCTCTGGACAGATTTTTGTGGCAACCAAAAATAGATCAGATTTTAGCAATAAAATATCTCAAGAGATGTCAATACATTTTTTTTAAAAAGCTTAAAATGGGCCAAATTACAATTACACATATGGAAATGGCGTTTAAGAATTGTTTTCACGAAAATACCGGTGAAAAATATCTCCGTTCTATCAAGAGAAAAAAATGTTTGACTTGTGGCTTGAAATGGGGGGAAATAAGTATTTCGGTACAAGTTCTACCCTCAAAGACAACACACTGATTAGCTGGAACTACGAAATGACTGCGTGACACCCACCCCATCCTGTTCTACGGGATGCTTTGGCACAACTTTATTAAAATCCTATATACTTTAATTTGAGCCATAAATGGATTTTGGATCACATGTCACTTTTTTAAAGAGTGAAGTCCAAGGTAAAAACTAAGCCTCAAGTTCTATAAATTCTGACAGTGTATTCATGATCATGTCTTCTGAAATCACGCAAGTTAGCAGCACCAATCAATAATTAAAAAAATCATTCTCGTACTTGAGCATACGGATGCGATGCAATTTGTGATTAGTAAACCTGCTAAGATTCAAAGTGGCTAGACTGCTTTAAGATAGGAAATTCAGAGCCTCCCTGTACACAGGTCCCACCTACCCAGTTACATACTTTATTTGGCTTCTGAAAGGGGTAACCCTCTGTTAGAGAAGGGGATTTTGCAGTTTTCCCTCTGAGAAATTTCACTGGAATGTTAGATCCTCAGACTGAAAATATTAACTTTTCATAGATCACAGAATTGTAGAGCTGGAAGGAGCTTGGCGATCATTTTGTCCAACCCACTCTTTTCGGATGGGGCAAAGGAGCCCACCAGAGGAGAAGGACTTGTCCACCCTCTGACAGTGGCCGGGGCTGGGCCCCAGCAGCCTCCTCCTCACCCCAGGACTGTGCAGTGCTCTCCGCAGAGCCATCTTCCCATGTTCTCCTGGTGTTATTTGGTCCCGTTCATTAAATAACAAAGAAATATCAAGTACATAGCAATACGATCAACACAGACTTTTACTCCAATTTTAAAATCAGAATGTTAAAATGATTCCTGAGCCTTTTAACTACCTTCATTTTATTGAGAATGCAGTCAACAGTAAATTACGACTAGTGATTGTGGTTGTTTGCAAATATTTATATGGATGCCGGGAACACTTCTCAGAACTTTTCCGCAAAGACACTTGTGCAAACACGTCTATGTGATGCCAAGACACTTTTCGTGGGATGTAAGGACATTGTGATGGTGAATGGAGGTGAGATGCTTCAGTCTCTCAAAGTGCAGTCATGAGTTTATCTCGATACACCATACTTTGCAATCCTCCTAAGTTCTTCTGGTTCTGGTCGTGGACATAATCGAAAAGGCTGCCACCTCCACTGGCCGACTTTTCCCAGTGCGGTGGCCTGTCATCCTGAAAGCATGGCCTGTTTTGTTGGCAGAGTGAATGGTTAGCGGGAGGGATGAAAGAAAATTCAGAAATGTGAGTGAAACAACACAAGTATGAGGGAGGTGGGCAGGAGAAACCATGAGCCGTGTCAATGGGGATGGCTTACAGATGGAAACTAATGGTTTTTCTAAGGTATTTTTTTTTAAATTCAGAATGCAGGTTATCTATCAACGTCCAGGTCAAGAGAAGCCCGCTCCACGGCCATACCATCATTTCTCAAAGGGCACCTTGCTGAGCAAGTCAGTCTGAGGAAAGTCAGGTGACAAGGGGTCCTTGGCCAGGCACCGCTCAGCGCTGTGAGTGCACTGCTAACGGGCGCTGTGAATGCCTTAGGCAGAGTTTGCCAAGAGTGCTGGGCCAAGGAACTCTCTTTTCCTGGGGCAGGTATCTCAGTCTTCTCTAACCTTGGAGAGCCTGATAAAACAGAGTGCTGGGCCCTACCCGCAGACACTGATCCAGCAGGGTTGGGGTGGGGCAAAGAATGGGCATCAGCGAGCTCGAAGGGGAGGCCAATGCCCCCCAGAGAGGACCCTGTTGTGGCCTCCCACAGAATCCCCTTTGCAAACTGTTGGGCAAGGTTGCACCTCAGAAGGAAACTAAGGTGGTAAAACAGGCACTAAAAAGTCTAAAATTCTGTAAAAATAAGGTCAATAAAAATAGCATTTCTAGAAATCTCTTCTGTTTTCTTCTGTCTGGAAAAAAAACTGCCTTTGCAATACAGAAACATTTAGTGTTATTACTCTGCTGGGATGACTAGCTTTAAAAAGTTACCCGAGTATCAAGTGTTGTTGATAAAGCTGCACTGTGGTCCTCCTCCAAGGTCCCCCAACAAAAGTGGCAAGAATCATCAAGAACCTAATTGCTCTCCTTTGCCTTGCTCCACATGGATTTATTTTCATCACTCCATTCTCTCCATACTTTCTCAAGCAGCAAGGCTAGCAACCTCACCAAGAAATAACTTTATGCAAAGCGAATTCACCAACAGAAAGAGCCTCACACACAAACACCAATTAAGGCTGATCTAAAATTCAAATCTGCAAAGGAACGTTTGCCTTTACAAAGCTGGCATCAAAACACTCTCAAGCCTGATGAAAAACCCAGCAAGGCAGGTGCCAGTTTACTTGGAAAGGATTGTGGTGGGTTAGGGCAGAGGTGAGGAAACAGCCCTAGGGGGCTAGATCCCACCCACTTATTTTCGTAAATAAGTTTTATTGGAATGCAGCCTCGCCCATTCACTCTTGGGTTCTCTCTGGCTGCTTCAGAGTTAAAACCGCAGAGCTGAGTAGTTGTGACAGAGACCACAAAGCTGAAAACACTCGTTATCTGGGTTGTAACAGAGAAAGTTTGCTGACCCCTGGGTTTAGAAAAAAGACCTACTGTCACACAAAAAAAACAACCCCCCACCCCAACCCTGAAAAAAACGTCCTTTCAAAAAACCCACAACAAAAATCCCCAAGCTTGAGGCACATTTTTAGTAACTGAATTCTTGGGACAGGAAAATGTTACTTAGAAATTTTAAGTAACATTTCTAACACAAAACCAAACCAAAAATATCTGAGGTTAGAATGCCTAAAAAAAACCCAAAAAACAAAACCCAATTCATTTTTATTTCAAAAAGCATAACTTTGGTAAATCCAGACTCATCACTGGCTTCCTTTGCTTGGCAAATTATTAATCTCTGCCATGACACGGCAACTTTTAACAGCTGTTTCTGATGCAGACTTTTGATTCCCAAGTAGGTAGAATTCAAGTTTTTCCAAAGGGAGAACCTTCGAGAAAGTACAGCTCTGTGAGCTCAAGCACTTACCTTACATTTGGAGAGTGAGGGTGCCACCGAGGCTGGCTGGGGTGGATATTGGGATGGTACTGAGGCTAGAAATGAAAACCAAACTTGATTATTCGATGACCTTTTGATTTCAATGGCCTTCATTTACTTTCCCTTTTACTGGCATCTAGCTGAGGGGCCTAGGGCTGTGAATGGAAAGGCTCTAAGGAAACCCTGGCTGGGAGGTGGCTTCCCAGGATGATCACGTTTCCCCCACCACAAAGGGTGGGGGGATGGGGAAGACATCTGCCCAGAAAGGGTCCCCTAGAGCCCCCAGGACAGGCAATATCCATCTCCCTCAAGGGAACAGACGGAAGACACCCAAGATAGGGGGTGAATGGTAAGTTCAGAAACGATTTTCGTCATCGCTGAGAATGACAACAACCGTGCCTAAGAGTGGTTCTGCAAATGCAAGAGAACTGGACAGGGACACCAAGGCAACAGGACTGTGGGCGGTCTCTTTCTCCCTTGTTTAAGCAGCAAGAATATTTTTCTAAAATATGATCCAAAACCCAGTACCAAACCTCACCCCCACCCAGTTGCTATCAAAAATAAAACCCCAAACCACCCAGAGCACTTATTATCCTGATAGGAAGGAAGGAAGGGAGGGAGGGAAGGAGGGAAGGAGGGAAGGAGGGAGGGAGGGAGGGAGGGAGGGAGGGAGGGAGGGAGGGAGGGAGGGAGGAAGGAATTTATCCGTTGAAAGATGGGAAAACAGATCCAGACTGGTGACTCACCAAAGGACCAGAGGTGAAGACAAGGCAGGCCTGGCTGGGTAGTAGGGCCGTCTGTCCACCTCTGGCCTGCAGAAGGCAGTGGCCCCAGACATGGCCAGAAGCCAAGGGGGCTTCTCAAGGCTAAACTTTCTGTGCGGCACATTAGACCCTCCTGACTTTTAAGTCACTATCATCTTGCCACCATTATTCTTTTAATTATTTCTTCCCCTTCTCCTTTCCCTGCTGTTTTGGTTGATAAGCACAAACCTGTTCTGTATTATGGAAAATTCTCAGTAATTCTGTTCATTCTGTTTTCAGGAACCGAAGATGCCCTCCCTCCCTGCCTATTCTGTCTTCTAGTGGCCTCTCTCCTTCAAAGATACCTGTCAGCAAGCAAAGTGTACAGCCCCTAAAAAGACATGCTAAAGGAAAAGGATCCAGAGAAAAGATCTCAGGAGCCTAATCTGAGAACGGACGTCTCTCAGGGAGACAGAGACCTAGAGTTTAGATGGTTTGCCCAAAGCTGAATGTTTCAGGTGTTTTGGTCACACAGCCAGGCCCCAAATGAGGCTCCACCAGTTGGATCTCCAACAGAAGGGAATAATCTAGAAGAGAAATGGACCTCCTATTCTATTCCCTGTCTTCAAACACAATCAAATCAGATTCATTAGTGCAAGGTGGGTACCTCATCCATAAAGACCTGGAAGGATATTCCCAAACCTTCCTTTGACTCCTTTGGTAATTTATTCACACTCTAAAGCTGTCAAGGAGTTTTTTTTTTTTTTTTTTAAGGAGCATTTTTTAGTGTTAACCCAAATGGCTCTCACCAGGGCAGTTTTGTCCCCCTGGGGACAATTGGAAATATGTATGTGCACTTTTGCTTGTCACGATGACGACAGGATTACCTTTAACTACTGGGGAGAAAGAGGGAAGCTAAATATCCTATAACTCTCGGGACAGTCCCACAATGAAGAACTGTCCCTCCCCAAACGCCAACAGTGTCCTTATCAAAACCACAGCAATCCATCCTTCTTTGCAGCTGGCTGAGCTCGCAGAAAGATGGACGCTGCAAGACCATCCTCCTGAAAACCCTTCTCAGCACTCAGACGCTTACTGATCAGCCCACTACTCAGAATATTCTCTTCCTGGTCAATTCACTCCCAAACCTTGATAGAGCAACACAGAACCTCTAAGGCTTGGCAAGGGGTAGAAGACCAAGGGTTGCCAAAGATGTTATGAGAAGAACAACATCTAGGTAACAGTTTTTGTGCCTGGAGTTCAATGGACAACTGTTTCCATGTTTACTCTGGGCAGGGAAGGCTTTGCTTCATTTTCTTATTTTTTCATGCCTTCAAGCAGGGACCACCCATCCACAGCTCTTCCCTCCCCCCACAGCCAGCCTCTCACACCTGAAAATCCCTCTAAACCAAAAAGCCAACCTGTGACCGAGAAGATTCAAAAACCTAAAGAAAGCAACGAGACTGGAAAACCTGGCTGTTCCCCTACCAGGTTCAAAGCACTTTTATGCTTTGTGCATGTTATGCACATGTTATTCCCCCAAACTCAGAAGTCATGTCCAAGTTCTGCACGTTGTAAAGATGATTTCACGTACAGAAGATGGTATCACAAAATTCTTCTGAAACATACTTCAGAGACCTCGTCAAGATCATGTACACTGGGATCCCACCCCCATCTAAGGAATTAATATCTACAGTAACAAAAGATCAAGAAGGACACTAACATAATGCTCCCAGGAGAACCCCTTATGGAGTAGCTTCTTACTCGTGACATTCAAAACCAGACTGGTGAGAGGAGAGTAGTGTCCTTGGATAGAACCCCCCCAGCTCAAGAAAAATGGCCCCAAGCGAGGAGGTCATCAGACACGGATGTTGCCTCTAAGCACGAACCTAATGAGGGACACACTGTCAGTGCAGGGGGCTCCCCTCCCCCCGGCTGCTCATCAGAACCACCATAGGTGCTCAGAAGGTGTCTGATACCCAGACCCATCCTCAGAGCTTCTGATTCAATCAGTCCGGGGTGAGGTCCGAGCACTGGTTATGTTTTTAAAGCCTGGCAGACGTGCAGCTGCAAGACTGAGGACCACTAGTGTCGGTGATCATCAATCAGGAGGATCGGAGAAGGCTCTGTGGAGGAGGTGGCTTCTGAGGAGGCTCTGAAGGATATTTTAATGCACAGACAGGTAAGGGAATTTCAGGCAGAGAAACACAGACAAAGGAACAGTGGGAAGTAATTATGGGGCCATGATTATGTGCTTCTCTGGGAGCTGAACACATGATGCGTGATAAGGAGCTGGGAGGAGGGGAGAATAAATGTAGAAAAGCATGTTGGAGCCAGGTTGTAGAAGGCCGTGAATGGCCAGCAAGAGCCAAGCCCAGGTATGGGCAGGTGGGCAGGCAGGGGGTGGGGGCCCTGCTTGGCCACGCAGTAGAAGAGCAGAACACCAGCCAAGGAAACCTCTCTGTGCTCCTTCTACAGGCTCAACAGGCCTGGTACAATGCTCTATAAAGAAGGTTCTAGAAACCAATGCTCCACTGATGTTAACAGATACACCATCCAAAAAAACAGGCAGGCAGGGAGGTGAGGCTAGTTTTTTGCTGTTGTTGTTTTTGTTGTTGTTTTTAAATGGGGGAGGGATTGTTCAATCGTCAAATGATTTGGGGAAACAATAGCTTAAAAAAAAAGTGTCTTTTTTTGCAGGATTTCTCAGTACTTTTGACACCCAAATGGGCACCATAAGATCCAAGAAGGGGAATGAAGGGTTCACCATCTCCCAAACATGTGACTAAGACATCTTTTCCTGGAGGCACATCTCAAGGGATTCACGTTCTCGAGGCCGAGAACATACTGACAAAACACGGCCTCACCTGAGTGCCCCTAAGAGGTTGTATTTGACCACCCAGAAACTTAAACATATGTCCCTGCTGTTTGCCAGCTAACAATGTTAAGAAAAAACAGGCCCAGCTGAAATGACCAGAAGGGACCAGGGGTCATGGAACAAGGCTCTCCTCTTACTGTTTTCTCAAAAAACAAAAACAACCCCCCTCCCACCCACCCACAAAAAATTTTGTTATTGTTCCTTCAAAATTTGGCTATAAGCATAATGACTGCTTGAATGCAGAAAATTTTGAAACTTTAAAGTGTTAATGAAAATCTTTAAAAGCAGTATCTCACCTGGTAATTATGGACTTCGGGATTTGTTTTAGAGCTAAAGAAAAGAAGGGAAAAACTGTAATGTAACAGGTTGTAAAGAGGCATTATTAGTGATTTATTTAACCATCATCAGCAAATCCTACCAACACTGTTAGGAACTTTCACGAACGCCATTTCTTTTTGGTTATTAGCTGTTTAAATGAACATATAAACAAGGCGACCAAACAGCAACTTCTAGTCATCACTTTCGAGCTCCCAGATAGAAACATGAAGGCAGTATTCCAGAATCCTGCTCGTAATGTCATGAGCTCCCCTCCCAGGTCTGCACTGGCATTGCGGGGTGGCCCCACGGCAGCTCCAGCCACCCAGAGCTTTCTCCAGCTGCAGGGAGAGCTCAGCCTCTCCTGAGCATCTACCTCCGTGGGTCCCGCTGCTATCAACAGGGCTGTGATCTGGCCACGGCTCTGGAACGCTCATTCCATATAAGGCTCTGTACTGGGAACCTCCTGTTACTCTTTAACCCACACAACAAGGCTATGACGTCAATAACTGGTACCACCTCATTTTACAGATAAAGGCAAGGTTGCCTAACAGAGAAGTGAGGAAACCTGTTCAGGGCCAGCCAGCTAGACCGTGGCAGGGCCAGCACTGGAAGGGACATCTGCTCCATCCCAAAGCCCATGTACTTTCCACAAAGTCAAGTGGGACCCCTGAGGGTCTGTGAAAGGGTTCCCGGCTCCTCATGCCTGATTCTAGTTTGATAGACTCTTAAGTATAACTATTCTGGTAAAAAAAAAAAAAAAAAAGATATATATATTTATTTATATATGTATTTTTATATATATTTATATATACGGGCAGAGAAGGCCGGCTTCATGCATAAAACGCAACCAATGTGTTTCGTACGCAAGGTTGGCAGGAAAAGCACAAATACAGCGCAATCGCTGGGCTACGTTGCTAGGGTGGTGTGCTTGAAATCAAGGTTTATTGCTTCTCTGATAAGGAGAGAAACATTTCATTGTTATGAGTCTAGCTTGGGGTCTAAATGGCGCTGCGTTCCAGTTTTCAGAGAGGGCCAGTGCACAGAGCCAGGCTCTGGGCCAGATTCACCTCCAGCTGGATTCTGCACTGCAAGGTGCTATTTTTCTGGTATCACCTCTGCAGCCTGGAGCACAATTTCATCCCTGGCTCCCACAGCAATCCTACTCACCCCGGGATCCCACAGGCTGTGAAGAGCAATTGAACAGCTGCGAACAGTGGTTATTAGTTCATTTGTTCCTAAAGGGTATATTTACTGTGGTTTTTTTCCCCCCCCCGTGGACCCTTTTTTTTTTAGTTTGTTTTGGTTCCCAATATATATAATTTCCACTAGATGCTAAAAGGAAAATATAATTTTATTAGAGAAAAACAAACAAAACAATCACTTCCTTAGAAGCAAAGAAAAGACATGTTTTAACTCACAAGCCCTTGAGAATTCGAAGTAAGACACGCTGACAGGTGCAGAAAGGTGCGACTACTTTGGGCAGGCTACCTGCCATGGGGATCCTAGAGACGGGCATGCCTGCGGCCGGCAAGGAAGCCATGAAGTAACCCTGCAACCACCTCCCTCCCTCAGGGGCAGGGTGTGATGCACGGCAGTTCAACAGGACTCTGGAGCCCCTTCTTTAGGTGCCAAGATGTGAACCCAGACACAAGAGTCAGCTGCTGGCCCCCCAGCAGAAAGGTACTATGGGCGGAGCTTGGAATCAGAGACAGAAGGCCAAGTTCCCAGCTGTGTGACACAGGGGCTGGTCATGTTCTCTAGCACCTTGGGGCCCTGCCAGGTGTCTTGGGGCTGCATGGTGGTGAGGGGGCAGAAGAACAGGCAGGCGCCGGCCTCCTCCTCCCTGCCTGGCTTCACCCAGAGCAGCTCTACTTTTGTCTGTGCTCGAAGCTGGGCTTCCAGGTCAGGATTTTTCCAGGAGGCGAACGTCAGAGGCTAAGAAGTGCAGACCAACGCTGATCTAGCCCAACCTCCTTGTGTTCCGTGGAGGCCCAGAAGGAAGGCCTAAGGCTCCAGAGCTGGATGAAAGCAAGGCTAGGGGGCGAGGAGGGAGGCTTCCTGGTCCCTTGGCCTGCATCCTCATCACCCACCAGGGCATCGTCTACCCACTCCACCCCCTGCCACCTCTCTGGAATACCTGCCACAGTCAAGCTGTGCTCACCTCTAAGATCTCCCCAGCGGCCTGAGACCTGTGCCTGGCAAGATCCAGAAGCCAACTAAAATGGGCTACCAGTGGCTGGAGCTTGGACACCAGGGCCAAAACAATACAGCCTGTGATTCTCTAGCATGACGGCTGTCCATCTCAGTCAGAGCTCACATGTGCAAAGACTTGTTTCCGAGAGAGAAAAAGAGATCCATGCGGGGTGGGATGGTGCTTCTCACCTGGGCCACACACTAGAATCACCTAGGCGCTTTAAAAAACCAGATGCCTGGGTCCACCTTCTCTGAGCTGGATGCAATTAACCTGGGGCGTGGCCTGGCTGAGGCGGGGCTCTCAAGGCTCACCAGGAGATTCCATGTACAGCAAAGATCAAGAACACCCGGGCTGGGGAAGGGGCAGGCAAATCACACCCTGTGGGCCGAACCTGGCCCACCTGCAATTACGAGGAAAGTTTTATTGGAACATAGCTGTGTTCTTTCATTGACATACCGTCTCAGCTGCTTTTGTGTGCCCGAGACAGAGCTGAGCCGCCACGAAAGAGAGAACACAGCCTCCCAGGTCCAAAGTATTTACGATCTGGCACTTTACAGGAAAAGTTTGCTCAGACCTGGGCTGGAGTTTTCGCCTTGTGATGTGTTCTTTTGTCTGCATGACGTTCAGTAAAGGCTAAAACAACGCCTTGTTTTAGCAAGGGCGTCTATGCTGTACGACTGTAAAGCCTGCACGTCACCGAGCGGATTCAGCATTTGCTCTCACAGAGCTTTTGCTCCGGAGCTCGGCCTCACTTCCCCATCGCTGCCGGCAATGCCACCAGCACAGTGCAGCGTATACCTTCCCCTCACCTTTATCTAAAGCCCACCGTTGTCACAAACAAAGCACAAAGCTATGCCAACAAAGCGGCTGCGTTTTAAAAAAGAAAAAAAAAACCATCCTGGAACATTCTATTGTGTCCTTATTGAAAACCAGGAGGATGGTACAGGCGGGCAGCAGAATAAGGGGAGGGATATCATCAGGTGACTCACTCTGTGGTTTAACTGTAGTAAGGAAAAAGTCAACATTGCAAATAAAGACAACAATTAGAGAGAAGAGCTGTACCCCAGAGGCTGGGGGCACTTACCAGAACTGAGCCGCTATCACCGGATTGCTTGCTTTAAAGGAAAAACAGAAAGGTGTGTCATCTTAGAGAGCTGTGTCACTGTTTACCACACGACGACAATGACCAGAGTGGAGAGTTCTGTGATCTCAGAGGGGTCCCGACCCCAGGAGGCAGAATCTTCACCTCAGCTACTTCTCCTTTCTGGAGGAAAAGTCTCCTTTCCCCTGGGCCAATCCCTCCAATTCACCCAGTGAATGCTGAACACGCTCCCAGGGCCAGGTGCTCTCAGATGCAGAGATCAGAGACAATTCTTGCTGTCAAGGAGCTCGCAGTCTTGACACAGAGACAGAGAGGTGTGTCAAATCAAAGACAGCATACGGGGATGAGAAAGGCTGAACTACGAGCCGGACTGCACTGGGGAGCTCGGGACAGACATCTCTGGCTAGCGCAGGGGTGTGTTTCTGCAGAAGGGACCATGGAGAGAGCTAGAGCTCCTTCATCTAGACTCCACTCTGGTTTGTAAAGGGTGCAGCATGGAAAAATCATTAAAAGCTTCACAGAGGTGCCAGAACTCTGGCTGAAGAAAATGCCAGTAAAACAAAAGAGGGCAAAGAGGATAGAGACTGGGAAGGAAAGTAGAGAATCAGAGAAGCCATGGTCTGGAAGAGCCCCAAAGCCACCCGTGGGGGCAAGGGGCAAGTCAAATGCCACTTCCTCCCTCTGCAGTGGCTACGCCAAGGGGTCTTTCCCTTTGTGCCTGTGCACACCTCCAGGGCCTGGGAGCTCAGCAAGGTCTTGAGATGGCTCTATCTTTGGACAACACCATGAGGAAGTTCTTCCTTATTTTGAGTGTTTCTGGACAACGCTGACCCAAGGGACCACAGCAGGCATAAGGCCCGAAAGGGAGCCAACACAGCCCTCCCTCTCTCCCCACCACATCACTTGTCACCCCCAGTTCCTGCAATCAATCACCTCATCCCCCGTCACCCTTCTCTGGGCAAGCCCCCAGTCCTCTCACCCTCTGGTCTTTTTCCTGGGCTCTGGCCATTTTTTTCTCCATTAGGGCAGCCAAGAATGTCTTTAGAGAGCTTCTGGCTGCCATGGTATGCACCATTGGTTCAAAAAGGCAGGAAACAGTGGGGAACACAAGGTTAAAGATTCTAGAAGGGGGGCAAGTATAGGTGTGGGTCCCATAAAGGCCCGCTAAGTCCTGAGTTATATAAGGAAAATCTATGGAATGGCCACTAGGAGTAAGTGATATATAGGAGAGGGCCTGGGGGGTTGGGAGTACAGAGGCCGTGCCATGAACGAGCCCACAATTCAATGCTAAACTAGGTGTCCTGAAGGGAAGAACAATCAAGCATGGACAGAGGAGAGCTGAGAGGTGGGATGTGGAGGCTGGGTTTAAACGGGCCTCTTGCTCATTCACTGACTGGTCCTGTATTGGGAACCCGGCCTCAGACAGGTGTGAGACCACATGAGTAACTGACAGACAAGGCTCAGGGGACTCTGGAAAGGTGGGGGAAGGGCAGGCTAAATTCAGGGGCAGCGTGTGTTCGGATGGACTGCAGGACCTGAGTCCAGGATTTAAAGGTTCTGGATCTGCTCTTAGGTGGACAGAATTCTGGTTAGCATGAGACTAAAGTCCCCATTTGAAATTGTAAGACGGAGGAGAGAAAGGACTGTTTTTCCCTCCAAGACACAGCACCCTCTTCCACAGGCAAGAAACGTGGTAACCTACAATACTCCTAAGGTCCCAGGTCCAGGAGAAGCAAAGAGGCACAAGAAGAGAAGTACAAAAAAGAGGGAGAAGAAAATGAACACATCCAATGAGAAAAACTAAAGACAGTGGACAGCAAAAGTGGCCTGATTCCCCTGCAGAGAATCCCTCCCGTTGGGATTCTTTGGAATGACAGAGCAGAATGGCAGAAAGTTCCTTTAAGAACTACTTTACCAAGCTCCTCAGGGCTTAGGCCACTAAACTGTAATGTAAAATTCCAGGCAGAATGAACAACACCCCACCTTTGAATGTCGAATGTCTCCGGGATGGATAGCGTTTACTAGGCTTCCGCTCGAAGGTGCTGGTTCTTCGTAACCTGGTGCCATGTGTGGCTTGATACTCTGTCCGCCCGCTGGAAAGTAAATATTTCATTGCATGTCACCGATATCAGAATATCAGTACATGAGGCGTATTTGGAAGCACACTTCTATTTTCAAGAGCTCCAATGTAAATTTCAACTTATCTCGTTTGGTGAAGACACACTCCAAATTTGGCCTTGCATTGGGAAATCAAAGCTTTGCCAAATCCAAGCTGTATTATAGGGGCAGATATTTCCACCAAAAGACAAAGCCTGCAATTTAGGTACCAGCCACTTGGCTCCACAAACCAAGCAGGTCCAAGTACTCGGAACATCTGACCGAGAGAACAACGATTCACAAATAAAATAACCTTTCATAATACACATTACATAGACATTTACCTCTTCTAAAATGCTGTTATCAATGACCACTTAAGTAAACCTTGGCCTTCCTTACTATGCCAAGGGAAACCTGACTTCTTTCACCAAGGCTTTCTGGGTTTCAACCACCGTGTGGCCTTGTGCCGTTTCCAGGACGTGCACTGTTTTTATCTGAGCTGCTGTATTCCAGCCACGCTTGGTTGATGATTTCTCACACAGAAGGGGGCACTTGCCACCCGCTCTGAGTGCCTCCAAGGGGCATCCTTGTCTCCAACATCCCCTTCCTTCTGCTTTTCCTCAAGGAGCAGAAGGGAGCCTGGGCTGGCCAAATCCTGGGGGAGTTTCCTCCCAGGATGGAAAAGCCCGCCTTGGCAACCATCCCAACAGCCACTTCCTCGTACAGTAGATAAATCTGAAATGAACACATTTTTTGGTATATTCAACAGAGTTCAAGGACATGCCATGTGTGGGTAGAGGTTATGAAACCAGGTGAAGTTTTATTAAACTTTTATTAAACCAGGTGAAGGCTTATAACAGCAATTCTCAGATCTGTAAACGAGCCTCAGAAACCAACCCTGGGAGGGCATTTAAAATGCACGTTCCCAGGCCTTACTCATGAACGCACATATGCATGCACCCCATCGATTCTGATTACAAGGGTCTTGGATGAGGTCATAATTCCTCATTTTTAAAATAAGCCCCCAGAGAATTTTTATGTATTTTGAAAGACACGGTCTTACAATCTAAGTAAAACACATGAAAAATTAAATTCTTCATGTTTTCGGGGTCTTTTCAGACTCATATATTTACTGAGCCCACCCTGGGTCACCTGCACACACAAGGACATCTGCTCTCATTCTTAATCTATCACCAAATTTCTGGACGTTGGCGCATGAAAGGCAATAGAGTAGTGGTTAAAATATAAGACCCAGATTGTCTGGGGTTGAATCTCAGCTCTACCACTTAACTGGCTATGACTCTGGGCAGATTATGCAACCCCTCAGCCCCACTTTCCTTATCTGTAAAATGGGGATAATCAGAGGACAATGTGTGAGGACTGCACATTGGTTCATGAAAAGCTCTAGCACAGTTTGTGTTCTATGTCTGTTTACCTCATGTGCACTGAGCACTTTAAGTGTGGTTGGTGAGACAGAGGAACTACATTTTAAAGATTGTACTTATTTATTTATTTGAGACAGAGAGTACAAGCAGGGGGGGATGGGAGGTGCAGCAGAGGGAGAAGGAGAAGTAGACTCCCCGCCGAGCAGGGAGCCTGAGACAGGGCTGGATCCCAGGACCCTGAGGATCATGACCTGAGCCAAAGGCAGACACTTAACCGACTGAGCCACCCAGGCTTAAGTTAAATATTTATTTAATATTAATCTCGGGGCACTGGGGTAGCTTGGTCGGGTGAGCATCTGACTTTTTTTTTTTTTTTAAGGATTTAATTTATTTATTTGAGAGAGAGAATGAGAGAGAGAGCACGTGAGAGGAGGGAGGGTCAGAGGGAGAAGCAGACTCCCCACTGAGCAGGGAGCCCGATGCGGGACTTGATCCTGGAACTCCAGGATCATGACCTGAGCCGAAGGCAGTCACTTAACCAACTGAGCCACCCAGGCGCCTGAGCATCTAACTCTTGATTTCGGCTCAGGTCATCATCTCATGGGTCGTGAGATGGAGCCCTGAGTCAGGCTCTGCACTCAGCAGGGAGTCTGCTTGGGGGTTCTCTCCCTCTGCCCCGCCCCAAATCGCATACACACACGCTCTCTCTCTCTCAAATAAGTAACTTTTTAAAAAATTCATTTAAAATTAACTAATCTTAACGGCCACATGTGGCTAGTGTCTACTGCTTTAGACGGCACAGTTCCAGCTGCATGTCGGTGATTTACAATTTTATTAGCCCCTTTTTATCCACGAGGACATGGAGGCTAAAAGAGCTTCAGGGACTCAACCGAAGGTCAGATCTCATGAAAGAAGCACGGACGGGATGTCCGACTCAAGCCTCCGGACACAGATCCATTTGTTGCTCCGTTCACGGGAAACATCCCTGCTGCCCTCCTTCGAAACGGGGTAGCCACATCGTGAAAACCAGTGCCCACCTGAATCTGAAGCGAGACCCCAGCCGGATGAAGTCTGATCTGTTCGATTTGCTATTTCCTGGCGTCCTCAGTCGGAAGAAGGCGTGATGCTCCACCGCGCACTTCCAGAGATGCTTGCAGGTTCTGGCGCTGTCCAGCCGGAATACGAACGTGTGCTCCTGTTCCCGTCCCTGACAGGTGAAGAAGCACAAGGTGCTCGGCTCAGGGGGTGCCCGTGACCTCGAAGAAGCATTACTTGCAGAGAGGAGGGAAAACCAGGCTTACCTGATCATCATCCTCTACCACCACCAGTGTCAATTTGCTCTTTTTAAAATCCATTTTGGTAATTTTAGGCCTGGTCAGAGAGAAAACATCTTAAAAGTACAATCGGCAGGAAGGCTAGTACACAAACAACAGCTCCCTTTCTACTTTTTTTTTAAGTTTAAGGTTTGCTAAAGAAATCATTCATTCATTCAAGTGTGATTTATGCAGAAGTCTCATGGCCACTGCCAAACACCCGCAAATGCAAGAGTACGGTGTGTGTGTGTGTTTTTTTTAAAGCAAATCTGGGTGTTGCCAATATCCCTTAGTAATCATCCATCACATATAATTCCACCACAAAATAGGAAAAGACATTTTTAATATTAGACAAAACTAAATTACCAAAAGAATAAGCCTATTTTGTTAGCTCCTTCAAAGATTAATATGCCTGTCGGGGTCAGTCCAAGAGAATATTCACAGCCATCTCTTCCCTACAAATAAACGAAGTGACAATCGGTAGAAGGTTCTAATAGGTCGTCACAGAGCAGAATGCAAAACAGTTTCCTCGCCACGTTACTTTGTTCGCACACTGTTTACACATGGCCCAGTCGCAGTATGCCCCAAGAGACCCCGTGACTTAACCGCACACAGTTCTTACCCTGACAACGTGCATGTCTACCCCATACATTTCCAGCCACTTCGCTTTATTCAGATAGGACAGTTCCGCCTGGGCAGGGCTCTTTCCCCTTAGAAAAACCAATGGAAACACATGTAAACTGCAGCTCGTACACCCACAGGATTCTGAAGGGCACGGCCACATTAAGGGATGCTCTGCAGCGATTAAGAGAATGAGGGACACTGATTAGGATGAACAGGAAAAGACTCCCATGGACAGATTGTTCCCTGACTAGAAAGATGACAGACAGCAGTGCTTATAATGTGAGCAGGGAAGGCAACAATTTTTTGTGCGTGAACGTGGTCAAATCCACGGCAGGTAAAAAGGCTGGAAAGCCTCACCACTGGCTGCTAACGAGGACAGGCTGCAGAGTGGATGGCAGGCGGGTAGGCGCGGGCGGGGTGTGGCACCGCGACACCACGGCCACACCTTCCTCTCCTGTTTCCACGTGGTACGAGAGTGGGCTAGCGTCACCTTCCAGTTTCAAAACAAGTCATGAGGCCCCCTCGAGGGATGGAGGGACAGGAGGAACCCAGGCTCTGTTTCTGAGTCCAAGACTGACTTGGAGCAGGCGGAGTTCGGGGACGTGGGTTGCGAGGGCAGAAAGGCATGAAACTGTCCGCCTGGGGAGACCCCGGGGAGAAGGATCGGAGAGCCACGACAGGAACGACGAGGCTGGGTCTAGCTGCGGTGACCACAGGTCCTGAAACAGAACACTGTCCAGCACGCGGTCTCAAATACGAGTGTCCTGTAAGGGGCAACAGGGCCTCCCTCTAAAGGGCTTACTCTAGAAGATTCGGGTCACGGAGAGAGAACCGGATATGGAGGAACACACCGAGGCAGAGCCTCCTTGCTCTCTCTAGGAGGCCAGGTGAGCAGCGGTGTCCCTGGCAGGAACGAGCCAATCGGGACCAGGCTCGGTAATTCAGAGGGCAACGGGAGTGTGGTGCGGTCCTGCCTGTGTATCCCAGTATCTCGGGAAAGACAGGGGTTGTGGGGGCCTTTGGAAACGCGGGACTGAGAGGCAGCGGCAAGAAGTGAAGAGTTGGAGCTGCAGTTTTATGGTCTTCAACCAGAGCAACTCTACTGGCCCATCAGAGTCTGACACATGCTTACGGATCACAAAAGAAACACATCAGAATGCAAGATGGTAGCATCATGGTACCTGCACTCTTTCCATCTCTGGAAGATATCAAATTCCATCGCTTCTGTCTGATTTGGAATGAACCGAAACTCAGACACAAGCTCTGGCGTGTGTTCTGGAAGCTCGCACTCCCCCAGCTCCGCTGCGAGGTTCATAAAAGGGAAGAAAACAGGAGACGGTGAATGCTTTCGGTGATTGCTGCAACCAGGTCCAGAGGCAGTTTGCATAATTATAAAGCAGAGGTACCCCCACGTGGAGGAGCCCCTCCTTTCAGGAGGGCTGAACTCCCACCTGGAGCCCACACGTACACCCAGAATCTGAGAATCATCCTCATGCCCTCCCCATTGGGCAAAACACCATTATCTCAGTTATGACTGCCTTTCTCTTGACTGTTTCCCCTACCCGAGGAGGGCCCAGATTATATTTCCCCCGTGAAGTGGTAGAGCCCAGATCTGCAATAAAAGACAACTGCAGGGAATGAGGACCTGCTCCGAAACATCCATTTAAGCAGGCTCTCGCTAAGGCCGAGGCTGCGGTGCTGGAGAGAACCAAATCAAGAATTCAGTACATGTACAATCTGGGGGAAAATATGCCGGGAGGGAGAGGGAAGGAGTGAGGCAGGAGGGAGGAGGGGGGGAGGGAGGGAGGGAGGGGGTGACAAGGCTGCAGGAGCAACTGCAGCAAGTCAGCCAGAATCAGGAGGAAGACGCTAGCGCAGAAGAGGAACAACCACGTGAGCAGTCTCAGCAAAAAGCCCGAGACGCCCTGCATGCACTTGCTCTCACTAAGCCCCCACAGAATGAAGGGCCTGAGGACACAGGGGGGCCTCAGGCCTCCAAGACACAAATGAGAAAATCCACTCTCCCCACTCCGGACCCCACCCCTACAGCTCAGCGAGCAGCCCCCAGGATGTAAAGGAATCCTCCAGAGGTTTCTCTAATGCCCTGCTACTACCCAAAGCGTGAGCATCACCGGGATTTTGCTTACGGTGCCCGATCTCAGGCTTCACCCCAGGCCTACTGAAGGCAAACCTGCCTTTTCACTAGGAGCCCGGGTGACTGGTGCACAGGTTAATTCGGAAAGCACGGGATCTGCACCACTGGCTTTTGAACTTGCATGTGCATCAGGATCACCCAGAGGGCTCGCTAAAACACACAGTGTTGAACCCCATCCCCCAAGATTCTGATGCTATAGGTCTGGAATAAGGCCTGAGAATGTGCATTTCTAAGTTCCCAGGTGATGCCGATGCAGCTGATCCAGGCACACACCTTGAGAACCACGGCTCAACACAACAAATCCCACCAACTGATGAATCAGCATATGTCTGAACCCCTCCAGTCGTAGCAACTCACTAAGTACCCAGCAGCCTTTCCAATCCCAGAGCCCACCTTTCCGGACGGACCCTGATGCGCTTGCAGAAGTGGATGAAACTTTTCTGTCCGTACAGATGCAGCAGTACTACCAAGCTCAGAGGGTCCACGGGAGGGCTGTATGAGATGCTGCCTGACAGAGGGAGGGGACCTGGTGAACACTTCCTCACCTGACCGAAGCCTTTCATGTGCAACTCTGACGTGGAGGGCACCCTGAAATCAGCAGGGTGGTCTGAGGCAGGGTGTGCAGCTACTTGGTACCTCGGGCAAAGTCACAAATGAAGATTCTGCTCTGGAAATAATCACCCAGTGAAAATGAGGGCTGGGCTCCCAAGGCCACCATTGACCTCTGACCAAGCGCTCACCCTGAAACTGGGGGGCTGGCAAGGCTAGAGGGGCAGTCTGGGACGAGAACTCCTTCCTATGAACCACCCCCTGTGTGCACGGGCCAAAGTGGGGCAACGGAGCCCTGGGTTTAGTCCTGTCTCGGCGACACTACTATCATCATCAAGCACAGGAGGAAGAAACCGGACGATGATAAGGTTTTCCTGAGACCGGGCCTGGGGGCCAGTGTCCCTCCTCACTGTTACTGGACTAGACCCGGACTGAGCAAAGCCTGGGACACGTATGCTGACACAGCATGCCTGCCTTCTGAGAATCTGCCGGCCAAATGACACTCCGTTGTCTGTGAACTCTGTAGCCAGGGTCCTGGATGTGGAGGGTGTGGAGGGAGGCAGAAACAGCTCAGACACAGGAGGGCCAGGACCTGCCCTCTACCATCCACGGTCCGTGGCACCTGGGCAAAGCCACTAACCGCTCTCCATCTCTGATGCCCCGCCAGTAAAAATGGGGACTACTGCAAGGATGAAAGAAGGTCAAGGGACACACAGCAGGCGATGGTCCCATTCTCCCCCCGCTCTTTCTTTCTGCCTGGATTAACTTTCTTTCTTTTTTTTTTTTTTTTTAAAGATTTTATTTATTTATTTGACAGAGAGAGACACAGCGAGAACAGGAACACGAACAGGGGTAAGGGCAGAGGGAGAAGCAGGCTCTCCACTGAGCAAGGAGCCCGATGCGGGGCTCCATCCCAGGACCCTGGGATCATGACCCGGGCCGAAGGCAGTCGCTTAACCGACTGAGCCACCCAGGCATCCCACTAACTTTCAAATCTATCATCAACTTAGTCCCCCAAAGAGCACAGCCTTCACTCTAGGCCACTGCGTCTCAACTCTGGAGGGACCATGCATTCAAGGACAACCACAGCAAGACATGTCTTTGAGGCTCAAGCAAGGGCGGAAACACACCATCCACTTTACTCAAAGCCAGACACGCTCCAGTGATCCTGATGGCCGGATGCAGGCTGGCTCCGCTGGGGCTGACGGAAGGCAGGCTGTGGCACTTCCCAATGGGATGTGGGGAAAAGAGACCACGGAGGGACAATGTAACAAGACCTTCCTGACTCATGTGTCTAAGCCTTCAGCCTTTCTCATCTGTACTGAACACACTGACTGCATCTTAAATTACACTAGGTTGTGGTTCCAACTCAAATGGGTCATCTCCCCGAGAAAGGCTCGCAGACAGCTGACCTCATTCACGTGTGCCTCGGCTCTGGGGCACAGCAAGTGGTCCCACAGAGCTGGACTCTGTGAGTGTGATGATGCCTCATCCCACAAGTGGGGGCGGGGAGGGGAAGATGAGAATGCACGTGCCTCAAGCTCTCATAGTTTGGGACCAGTGGACTGATGGCCCCAGGTCTGAGAGGGATGTGACTTCATCCTGTTAACTACACTCTGACATCTATTGCTGGGCCACCAACTCTGACGGTAGAACCTTCTGGAGACTCAGCAACTCTAGAGTGGATGCTACTTGGCCACATAGTGAAATCGGAACCTGGCCAAAATGGAGAGCAGATTTCCATGTCCCCCAAGCCATTCCAGATCTTTATAGCACTCACCATAAGGACTGTTGTGTCAGGAAAATGTGGGCGTGAAGCACTGAGCATTGTATTTGGGACAGACATTTACAGAGGACAATATTGTCACCTCTACCACCTGTGTTTTCAGACCTCACGGGCAGGCTCCCCCTTCAACCACAGTCTTTAAAGGGCCCCTCCAACTTCATTTGATTCATCCTATACTTACTGAGCACCTACTATATGCGAGCCCCCATTAGAGAACAAGAATTAAAAAGTGACTAAGGAATAGAAATGTCAGGTAAGGGGAGTATCCTGCAGTCATTAAAAACCATCTTTATGACAAAGTATGTGCACTAAAAATACCAAGTAGAAAAATCATACAAAATATTGTACAAAACTGATCAGAATTACATTTTAAAAACTGCATCCAATTCACAGAAACTCTTGGTTATCTGTGGATGGCAGGATGATAGGTCCTTCCTTCCTTCTACTTGTCTATTGTACTGCTGTCCTGATAGTCTATAATAAATGTGTACTGATTTTAATTTGAAGACTCAGATCAACGTTCAAAAATTGGCAAATATAAAAGCTGGAAGCCAAATCTTATGATGGTATTCAAAATTAATTAGTAATTATGAATGAATACATCATAATTCATTATCCCACAGAAGCCGATAAACGCACTGGTAAACGAATCCACAACACAGGTCTATCTGATGTACTGATAAAATTCCTTATGTGCAGTTACATGTTAGCATCCTCTTAATGAATGCTGGAGACTTTAGCAAGTGTTTCTTGTGCATTTTAAACTAAAATCCACCAGTGCCTAATATGGAGAGTCAATGTTGACAACCATGCAGGCAAACCTACCATCTAACTCCCACCTCTAAGCAGATGACTCCCTGTGGATGCTTCTGGCCTGACCTCTCTGATGGAGCCAGATGTGCACACTCAAGAAGCTACTGGGGGGTCCCACTGGCACCTCTAAGCCAAGAGGCCCTCCACAGAGGATCTCCTCCACTGGAGCCAACTCTTCTAACCATTCACTGCTCCCATCACCCACCACTGGGAGCCATCTGTGACTCCTCCCCGACTCCCCTCTCAACACTGATCTAATGACCAGGTCTTTCTCTTGTACCACCAGTGTTGTTGTTTTTTTTTTGGTGTGTGTGTGAGCATGTACTCCGTGCCCTAGTCAGTTTCCTTTTATTACAGCAACACCTTTTAACTGCACCCCCAGCCCTGGTCTTACTCCAGTCCCTCTCCCCATCAGAGCCAGTGTGACCTTTCTAAATGCACACCTGACCAGGCCTGCCTCCCTCTTAAGAGCCTTCAGAGGTCTACTGCTAACAGCATGAAGGTCATGCTCTCTAAACAGGGTTCAAGGCTGTCCACTTCTCCAGGTTCTTGAACTTCCACCTTCTGACACCACTCGACTGCTGGTGCCTTTCTGCACTTTTCTACTTTGTGTCTTGATTCCTTTGCTCATCTTCATCTACTCATCCCCCTGAAGGGCCTTCACCTTCCAAGCCTCCTGCAGGTCTTCCTTACACTACACCCTGTGTGTGGTTTTGCCATGTCCTCATGGGACCACAAGCTACTTGGAGATGGAGGCCCTACTATATTCATTTATACCCCCAAAGTAGAGAACTGAGCCTGGTACACGGGATAATCAATTGTTGAAATGAGAGCATAATATTAAAATGCTAATTACCACCAAAGAAGAATGTACCTTGTAGACAGAGAGCAGCTAATTCCACAGCCGTTTCATAGGGGCATTTCAATCTTGGAAAAAAAAAAAAGAGAGAAAGAGGAAATTAATTCTGTATATGAACTTTAATACTCATAAACCATACAAAATATCATTAAAGTCATTTTTCAAAAGGTAGTGATATTTAGATAATGATTTTTCCCAGCAGCTTCTCTTTTTGCTATCCACGTTAAAGAATGCAAACAAGCTGACTCCCACTACCTATTTCCCAAAGTCGGTCTCACCGTCTAGCAAAACACCCCAGCCTCGGTACAGTTTCTATCCACCCTGTGGGCAATTTTACTGAATTTGGCAAGAATGGGGGAAGTTTGGGAAACAGAATGAAAAGCCTTCCCTTTGCCTTGTGATTTTGAAACTTACTTGATATGGTACATGCGCCTTTTCAAGCTGCCTTACATCTTTCTTGAAACCAGGTCATAATGTTAAAAATAAACAGACAGATACAATATCTAACACCGCCAGGACAGCTGGATATACTCAAGCGTTCTAATAAGGAGAAGGGCGGCAGAGCCAGAGAGGCATATTACTACACCTCCCATCACTGATCTCATTCACACTTCAAATTACAAATTGAGTTAGAAAAATAATAATGACATACATTGGTATAGCACTTCATAGTTTTCAAAGCCTTTCACACGTACGGCCGAATGTGGTCAATGCACGGAGTTTATAAACCCCGAAGACGGGTGCTGCCAGGGCTCCCCCATCCCCCACTTTAGAGATGAGGAACTGAGTGTTCGAGTGTCCTGCTCAAGGTCATCCAGCTGGTAGGAGGCAGTGCTGGGACCAGAACACCATTCTGCATTGAAGTACAATAAATCAGGCTGAAGTGCACGGAAACTGCAAAGTACTGTACAAATGCAAGATGTCGCCATTAATATTTTTCCAAACTGAAGACAATTACTAGAGTTAAGAGGCCTTTCGTATGAGGAGCACAGTATGCAGAGAGAGAGAGAGAGATAAAAATACACACACTCGTAATATGCACACCAAAGATTCGTATTGCATGGCTGAATAAGGCAAATGTATACACTGTACAATCTACTTGTTCTATGATATATATTGTGCTAAGGTTTTTATAGCATACGTTCGATGCAGAGTCTGCAAATTCGGAAACCGCTTTTCAAATTTCCTTCCGATTATATTCAAAATCAAGACGTGCTCTTTTCAGCATCAGGGATCACTTTTTAGATTCAGTATAGTCTTCATTTTCCATGGAATAGAAAATGGTCAATATGTATGTGGAAAAGTGACACAACTGTAAAGGCTAGGACCATTGAAATTTCCCATCTTTAAAATAAATACTGCAGGCGAGACCAACCCCATCAGTGCCAATGCTCCTTGTGCTCACCAATCATTGTCACCAGAGGCCTGGTATTGAAAAACTATTTTTAAGAGGGGAAAAGGAAATGAGATGAGATGTCTAAACCTATCAGAATCAGAACATAACCTGTTTTGTTGCTTAAATGCAGATGGTGATGAATGAGACTTTGGACTATCCAAATGCTTGTAAGTGTATACATACTAATAACGTATCTTGCTTGCAAATACGACAAAAGCCATTATGAATGGGGCAGTGATGTGATCAGGGAGAGGATTATTCCCAAATGCACATCACTTAAGATATTAAATGCTCTTGGAAATGCTTCAAGCCATATAGTAATCATTTAAAATAAGATGAGGATGACAGTGATACAAGTATTAGACTCACTTTACAATGCCTGGTGTACTTTTTTTGAATTTTGAAAAGGGAACAAGGGTAGAAGAGTTAAAACAGCAACAACAACCGTGATTTAGAAATATACTATGATCTATTCTGGGTTAAGGGTGAGAACAAAAACATACTTACTTTCCTGAAAGAATGTCATGCCTGAGTTGTAAAACAAACAGGTACCTGATAAACATACACAAAAGTCAACAGAGGATCCTCTTTCCCAGCTGCTTCCAACCCCCAACTGCCCATCACAAGCCCCGCCCCGCCCACAGCCCAGAATTCAGCATTGTATAAAGGAGTCCAAATCAAATGAGAACTTTGGTGGAAGCATCTCCTCCTGAGTCTCCAGGAAGGCATCCCAGAACCTAGCTAGGTAGGTGAGCGCATGTACAGAATTCGCAAGATACTTGGAAGATGGAACATGGAACGCGGCACAGCCCAATGACGGCCTCGGCAGCACCATAGGTGCTGAGAAGAGCGCTCACACACAGGCATGCGACGTGTCCAATCAAACAGACAGGGCGGAGCCGCCGGACTTGGCCCTCAGCCAGTCCCGCCAGCAGATTCCAGGAACCGTGCAGCTGCTTCTATCAGAAAGTTTACAGCTGACTGTAGTTAGCAACTGCTTGAGGCTTTTTTCCTGATGCAGGTTAACTGCGGACTGTCTTTTTAAAAACCAAATGCATGTGCATGTACACACACACACACACACACACACACACACACACACACCCCAAAAATCCCGGAACTGGGCTGCAGGGGGTTATGGGGTAACGAGAAATGGGGAGAGGAAAGTAGCAAGTAACACAAGTGGAGTTCACCTAAATAAAAAAAAATTAAGTGTCTTGGCTTAACTGTTTTTTGTTTTTTTTTTAACCAGGAGAATGTGGGCATCAGAACCACTTATAGTGCTTTGTAAAAGCCAAAGCTACCCACGCTCCGCCCCATACCTACGGAATCAGCCTTCTATGCAAGAGTGGTCCCCAGGAATCTGATTTGTTCAAAAGCTTCCTAGGTGTTTCTGATTCACACAACCCTAGTTAAGAATCACTGGCTTTGATGATGGCTACAAGCAGCATGTTTCATAAAGGACTCTGAAGAGAAACTCTAGAATAATTTGCTTGAACTTTGAAAACAAAGCAGACAGTCACTCTCTGTTGGAATGGATCTAGGAGAATGTGGGTGACCCAAAAATCAAAGGATGGGGGAGCTGAAGGTTCTAGTACATTCCAGAATGTTCCTGCTTCCGACAGCTGCTTAGCCACCACAGAGCTGAGTACTCACGTCAAAGAGAAAACAGGGCTGACATGGCCAGAACTTCCAATTTCTATAGGAAAACCTAGCTACGGAAGGCCAGTAGGCCTCTCCAGGGTGGAGAATGATGATAAGCAGTCTTTAAATTTTTCCTTGGGTGGTCATCTCCAGGCTAATGGCCACCACCATGAGCTGACATGTCACCACTACTGTCCATCACAAAAATGACAAGGAGGTTCTGGGGACATCTAAAGCAGTAGAAGGCTGGGTAGAGAATCTCACTGTCAGAAGGGTAGCTGGAGGGAAATTCCATACTTAAAATGTTTTTAAAGTCTCTTTTGCTTCAACACTGTTTCTGAAGTCTAAGACACAGGCATAAGGCAGGCAGACCTCAAAAGAAATCCAGTGGGGCTGAAAGATAACATGAAGGGATTCCAACAACTTTGATATTGTAGCAACAAGGGAACACTGCAGCCCCTTAAAAAAAAAATAAGATGGCTATCTGGGACTAAGAAATGCTCTTCCGATGCCTGCCTTCCCTTTTTGTACCTAGACAAAAATAAAGTGACAGTATAAAGAAAAACTCACCAATTTACCCACAGTCCAACAAAACAGAAATGTGACAAGAAAATAAATCTTTTAATTCCGATTCACTGAGAAAAAGGACAAATTAAGCAAAGGGTAGATTTTCAACAGAATACAGAGACAAGCACAGCAAAGTACTAATAACTCTTGCTCAAAATATAAAGTCAGCAGATAGAAGAGGAGGCAGACCTACAGCTCAAGGGACCCGTGAGTTATAAGATAAGTGCTATGAGAAAGAGGGGAATCTTGTTCTGCATTTTGTCCTACCTTGTAAACTCTTCACGAAGGTTGTTCGGCTCTGAAGAATAATATTTAACTCGAAAGTGCAAAGCATAAGCAGGTCCAACTAAACATATGGAGATGGAAGGTTGAAGATGTTTTCCCCCAATTTTGAAGATCAGAGAATGGACAAAAGGAAAAACACGTTAACTCTAGTCATACATTCACCGTTACATCGGGGAGGTGGCAATGGGGCATAGAAAGCTAGTGAGTTCTTTTCAATCTTTGAATCTGGAAAACTAAAATGTGTTTTCGTGTTGACAGAGACGGTGTAGCTAGTAACTCATTCTGGAATAAAACCCTAACCATCTAGATGAATTACTAAGAGCTGACATTTTACTTTCATCCAATTGCCAAGATATTCCAAACAGATACTAACTTTTTACAAAATACGAAGTGGGCTAAAGGAAAGTGACGCATAAACAGCAAGTGTTCTGTAACCTAAAAATACAGTAAGGACACTGTAAAGTATTCCATGTTTTAAAAGGACCCACGCAGACACAACACTGAAGAAATGGGCTTACCACACCTATAAAATCAGAGAGCTTGACCGGACTGTCAGAACTCCAGCTTTTCCATCCTCTGGAGTCTACTTTAATAACTCATTAGCAAATGAATGTAATAGGCGTAAAGTCATGCTTCTGAACAGCATATTAATCAGTTCTCATTGGCAAGGGTGCCTGATTTCAAATGAGAGCATAGGCTGTTTTTTAATATCTACCAAAAACTCTTATCCAAATTTTAAACTCTAACATTTGGCCAGCCTTAAGAAATGAAAAATCATCCACTTAAAATGGGATCTATTTTAAAAACGCTCCCAAGTCCTGATGAAAACATAATACCTCAAAAACTGGCAAAGGAGTTTTACTCTCTGATAAAAGAAATGAGTTGAGTAGGCTAAATTCTGCTTACTTACTTTTCATCTGCTTTTTTATGGGTTTGGAATGATCCAGCCAGTGCTGAAAGAAAGAAAAAGTTTCTTTAGGAATAGTTCACCAGCTAGACAATATAGCCCACATTTACCCTCCTCTATAAACTTTAGTCATTCTACCCATAAAACCAGGGATCGGGTCACATCAGGGTTCTCAGGCTGGGGATCAGCAAACTGTGTGGGACGGTATATATATATATAAAAAAAAAAACAAAACACCCATGCTTAGGTACAATAAGTACATTTTTTCTTGGGAGAGTTAACTTTTCAAAGAAGTGCCTAAAAGAACTTAAAACCTTTTAACTAATTGATCTGTGGAGGCCCTTCTGGTCAGCAGAGTGACGGCAGCTTTTTCCTCCTAAATTTCTCAATTTACACTCAATCTTCTCCCAAGTCACCATCAGCCTAGGAAAGACTACCAGCCACACTGCCGGGAATCTCTGATCATGCATGGGTCTGGAAGCTCTGTCGCTCTAAATGCTAAAATTATAAAACCCAAATTCATGACCCCTTTATTCTTTTGCCAGGAAAAGAACCCCCAAGGAAGCTGGGAAGACAGGCAGGGATTGGCTGGAGATAATTTTGCTCCAGTCAACGACGGCATTTCAACTTCCTGTCAGTTTCATCAGAAAGAACCCTTGGGTCCTATCCACCGCAGGAAATCACAAAACCATTTCCCTCATATGCAAATTCCTCTATAATGTCTAAGTGGTTGATACCACAGTCCTGATGAGCCTCAGCAGCTCAACTTCCACGGAAAACAGCATTTAGGACCGTTACGCCGTGAGCCCCTCCAAGCAATCCCGAACCCTGGAGGGCAGGGACGGTGCGCTTTAATAATTCCTGTGTCTCATGCCAGGCACAGAGCACGGCACCCAGCAGGCCCCTATTAGATTCTTGAGAAATAAATACATGCTTGGTAGCATTTTTTTAAAAGGAGGCAGAGAGGAACTTTTCCCACCACTTTAGGTCAACTGGATACACACTGCAACGTCCCTGAGGGGAACGTCCGGAACGACACAGCCAGAGTGGGTTTCTCGCTGGCTGCTCGCAATGAGAGGCCCTTCCGCTGACTGCCAATGTACTTTCAGAAGCAATCTCAACTCTGCACATTCTAATCATGAAGAAGGGTGGGACTAAATGAGTGCGGTGTACTCTACCCCTCACCAAAGAGCTCATTATGACTGTGTGGGGAGAAGGGAATAAGGAAACACAGAAGCAAATAACAGGTGACTTATAACACACAATAAGCTGTGAGCAGTGCGATGGGAGGACGTGGGCTTTCCTCGTCTCCACCCTCCGCCTCAGCAACTGGCTCAGCAACCTGAATAAAGGAAGATCAGCACAGCAGGATGCGCTGCTCAAAGGCACAAGTGCAGGATGCTTTACCTCACTGTTAATAGCTATAAATTGGAAATGACCTAAATGTCTATCAACAAAGGAGGATTAACAAAAATGGCTCGTCCATATGATGAAATACTATTCAGTCTTTATTTTTAAAGATTCTATTTATTTATTTGACAGAGCTAGAGAGGAGGAGACAGAGATAGAGAGAGGGAGAACACAAGCAGGGGGAGCGGCAGGCAGAGGGCGGAAGGGGAGGGAGAATCAGGCTCCCCGCTGAGCAAGGAGCCCAATGACATGGGGCTCGATCCCAAGACCCTGGGATCATGACCTGAGCCGAAGGGAGCTACTTAACTGACTGAGCCACCCAGGCGCCCCACTATTCAGTCTTTAAAACTGATGTGGGCCTCTTTATCAATGTGGCAAGAGACCCACAGCTCAACGCTTGATGAAAAGAAAAAAAAAAAAAACCAACAAACCAGGATCCCGTTTATATAAAATTATTATTTTCTATCGAGATATGTCCAGAAGGATTCATAGACGTTATTTTTGGATGTGGGGCTGTGGATGCCATTTACTTTTTTCTTTTTTACTTTTCTGCATGATTTTTTACTTCTAATGAGAATATGATCTTCATGGGGGTGGGCCAGGTTGTCACTCCCATCATTCATTCCGTTGTTTGCCAATGGGGCAGTTTTTAAAGATCAGTTTGCCCCATTGGAATGCCCTATCCCTGCTGCCCTCAACCAAGCAGAAAATCTCTGACCTTAGCCCCTGGGACGACAAATACAGACCTGATAAAAGTATATTTACTTTCCTGCCAAAGTATCATGCTAAATGGCTATGACTAACCTCCTTCCCCTCACTTTGAAATGAATGTACTATCACCAGACAAAGAGAGTTCTCCCCGGCAACCAGCCTTCTCATCTCATTAGCCCCAGAGGCTCATAGCTTAAAGGGGCTTGTCCCATTTCTTTCCTTTGAGGCCCCTTCTATCAGGAACAGAACACATTAAAGCCCACTGTTCCCCTCCTTCTGCTGTCAAACTGCGATCTTGATCCAAGTCCGTGGCGGTGGCTTTCAACCCTGGTTGCGCATTACAGTCACGATTCCCCAGGTCCCACCCAAGATCCATTAAACAGAATCTCAGAGCATCAGTGTTTTTTAAAGCCTCCCGGTGTGCCCATTAAATATTTAGTGCTGAAGTCTTCCCACAGCTTCCTCTTACCCTGGAATATATCCTACTGATCTTGGGGATCTTGACACATCCACAATCCCTTCTGAAAATCTTTGTCTGGGCTTTGTAAAATCTCAAGCAATTTCTGGGTTTATTGGCCAGATGTCTATGGTTGGTGTTAACGGACAATTCATGGCTAGTGCTCCTACTGGACAGCAAACTGCTTTTCCCTCTGGCCATGCTGCGTAAGGAGCTCCCTGATCCATGTGTGCTGGCCTCCGTCCTTCCTGCCCGGCCACAGGGCCCTGCCCAAAGCAAGACGTACCAGGATGGAGGCCTGTGAGAAGTCTGGGGCTCACTAAGCTGGGAAAGTCATCAGAAACAGTTTCATTTTAAAAGCTCCTTGGCCCTATCGGGAGTGTTCCCATCAGGTTTGCTTGCCTGTCCTGCATCAGAAGCGGTAAGAAATCCAGCCATAATCCTAAAACAGGAGATGATAAAACCTATCTTGTATCCAACCAGTTCAAAATAGCCTACCTAACTTTCCTCTCAGCTGCAGGAGCTGACCAGACTCTGATTACTCGTGTTTTATCCCACAAGACCACCTCACGATGAATACCCAGGCACTACGGCGCAACGTGGCCCTTTAGTAAATCATATACTACACTAGGCTCGGAAGCCTACAGTCAGCAGCAGCGGGACCTGTCTTAGATGTTCACCTGCATCCCAGCTAAATATAGCCACACTGCCTGTTGGCAAAGGCCAAGGCAAATGGCTCCAGCCCTCTTAAGACACCATTAAACTAGTCACTGAAGATAGACGAGGGCATTTCTAAGTTCAAAGGGCACGACATTTAACTCAAACGGTCTAACGTGTTAGAAAGGTGGTTTCTGATCTGAATTTCTCATCCAAGTCAATCTGGCAAAACCCTTTCCATAAATCAAGATGGGAGACGATTTGGCAAAGCTCATCTGTTCTGACAGTACATCAGTTCTGGAACCATGACATGCATAAGGCTGGCTGTAGAACTAAGATCTATACAGAAGCACTTGAACCACAATGGCCAAGATAAGCTCACGGGTTGAAAAGGTAATAAAACCCGCCTGAACAACCCCAGAGCCCTCACCACCAAATGTGAGTGGTAGAACTCATCACTAGCTGCCCGGTACCTGTAGAGTTTCTTAGCTTACGAAGAGTGTCTATTTGTGTTTAAATTAGAGCTGGAAGGAATGTGAAAAGAGATAATCCCATATCCAAGGGAAGAAAAGAGAAAGAAGGGAAAGGACACTTTTGGAGCTTACTGTGTGTGATATGATTTATAATAAGAAATATATATTTGGTCTTAGTTTCTGGCACAGAGCTCTTAAAACCCTTGGAATTTTCTATGCCGTAAGAGCAATAAGGGTGTCCTGACAGTCATAACAAATCCCTTTCAATCGCTTCTCCGCCTTTTGGCTAAGATCAGGTGAAATCCCTTTCAATCACACCTGAGTTTATGTTAATGAGGTGACTTTCAGAAAGCACCTAAGATGGGGGCTGGTTGCCAGGGGAACTAACCTGTGACTAGAGGGTTGAAGCTAACAGTCTCGCCCTCCTACCCGCCCTGACCTCTGGGGAAGGGGAGGGGGTGAGGGCCTGGAGCTTGAATCAATCACCAATGCCAATGATTTAATCAATCGTGCCATTGTAACAAAGCCTCCACAAAAACTTAAAGGGAGGATTCGGAGAGCTTCGGGGCTGGTGAACGCACAGACTTGGGGAGAGCGGGACACCCAGAGAAGGATGGAAGCTCTGCACTACCCACTCGGCCCTACACCTTGCTCTATCCAGCTCTTCTGTCAGGCTGCTCCCGAGTTACTCTCTTTATAACGGACTGGTAATCTCATGAGTCAAATGTTTCTGAGTTCTATGATCTGTTCTAGAAAACTGAGCTCGGCGTGGTCGTGGGGACCTCCCATCTATACAGGTAGCAATCTGGACTCGTGACTGGCATCTGAAGTGTGGAATGGGGGTAGGTGTGGCGTGGAAAACAGTCTTGTAGGACTGAGCCCTTCACCTGTGGGATCTGAGGCTATCTGCAGGTAGACGGCGACAGAATTAATTGCTTGGTGGTGTCAGCAGAAACCCACGTTGGACTGTGTCCCACCCATCACTCACTCAGGCCTCAGAGCAAATGAAGGTGGCCGTGCGGAGGGCTCAGATGCCCCGGAATCCCATGGCTAGAGAGGAAGGGGCAGGGTCAGAAATGAGGCTGTGTCAGCAGCCAGGGCCCTGGGTCTCCACACCACACACTAGCTCGAAGTGCCTTCCCCACCTAAGGAGGGATGGCTCCTTCTCATCCACGATGAAGCCCCGTAACCTCACTTATACCAGCTACTTGAGATTTCCTTGGGGATTCATCTAAATCAATTACAGAAGCCCCTTTATCAATAGCTTTCCACCCAGCATCAATATTCGCACGTGGGCAGGAAAACCCTCACTCTGCCAGCCTTCAGAGACAGGCTGTT